CCGGTCCCATGTGAAAAGGGCTTAGTGTCACTTCGTTTCCGGTCGCTCAGCTCGACGCAGAGCACTGGCCTCTGCTCTGTTTAGTCTACAGACTTCCACTTTGTTAGTTTGTTGAAGTAGTAGACTGACAAGATGTGACCTGACCCCTCTGGATTTCCATACAGGAGAGAAGCTGCCATCTTGTCTTACACTGTCAATGTTTATCCACCCTCAGCTACTGCGCCCCCAAGGACCTGGCTCTCACACACTTTAATTTCCTACTTGTTTAATGGGAGGGGGACGGATATGTTAGCTTCCCTGGGAGCTTGAAAATGTTGTCGACAAGTGCAGAGAACATTGTCACAGATCTGGTCTGTTTTTGTTTTTTTTATCCAGGGTCCTACATGACAGTGTCCTGTATCTTTTCCATCAGACATCATATTCACCATTCACTTCATTTTCATCTGCATTTTGATAAGAGCCACTGTGCAAAATCATTGAACTCAAAACTCAGCCACAGTAACAAGACTGAAGACCATTCAGCCACCTCAGAGAATGAGGTAGCAAGTGAGGACCGGTGATCGAAGGAGCCAAAAGAGGTGTACGTTTGAAACTTCTGTAATCAAAATCTGAGATGTAGATGAATGACTGACAACAAAAACCACTCCAATAACAAAAACAAAAACAATTTTGCAGTAACTCCAGAGAAGCATGCATCTGTCCAGGAGCTGTCCATTCAGCACCACAAAACTACAACACGAGCAAAAAGTAACAATAACAATCATTTTTCAGTGCATTATATTTATGTGCAGGGTCTAAGAATAGAGAATCTTTTGCTTGACCATTTTTCTCACTTTAATGTACTGTTGCCATCCTTCAGTCAACTAATCACTGGGATTATTTTGCAATTTTCCAGCTCTTTACTGGTCATTGTCTCTTATTGGCTTATAGCAAAATTATAAGTGTAAATATATATGATGGGCAAAAAGAAAATGCAGTGTGGAAACATACTTCAGGTGATTCACAGTTTTTGATCACAGCCCTGACAAGTTAATTTTGCATTTATTCAATTAGTGTAAAAATAGACGCAGGTTTTCTGGACTGAAGGTTTCTAACACCACACAGCTGCACAGGGCCATTCCTTGAGACCATTCAGCCCAGAGAAGTTAAAGGACTGACCCACTCAAATTGCAAATTATTAATGTTGCCTAGTCATGCAGAAAGCTGAACAGATAGCATCCTTCTCTGCGGTTTTTGCCTCCACCCAGATACAATGGAGGTGAATGAAATCCATTTGTAGTGCTCACAGCATTGAAACCTGATTGATAACTCAAAACCTGGACAAATAAAAGCCAAATCTACCTGAAGTCGAGACACCACCAGGAGACATGATAACATTTTATTTTTAGCTGAACAGACTTAAATACTGGATTACATGACATGTTTGCAAAGTGTGTTATTTACTAAATCACAAAATGATAACAGTGATAAAATCACCATAAATAGGCAGGAGCCCTGTGAGGCCACCCTGTTCACCTTTAGGTCGTACTTGTGCTGTAACAACAAGCAATAGAGGCGAGGGCCGCTGACCTTTGACATGAAGCAGAGAAGGGTTTGACCTGCAAAAATGACCATCAGAGCAGAGTGTGTCAGCAGCCAAAGTCACAGATTTACTATCAGTGTTAATCTGAATAGACAGTAGTATTTAGCTCCCAGAACAAAATGGGCACGCTGTAGTGGAAAAAATGCAGAACCCATGGCAAGCGTTACTTGGCACCACACGTTTTGGTGGGTTCCTACAATGGGAAACCCCCTATGTGTGCTGGAAACAGAGTGAGTATGTTCACGTTGATGGTGCAAATGTAAATGTATTTAACTCCCGTCTGTGTTTACTGTTGCAGTTTTGAGGTGATGGAGTTATTTGCCCTGGGTTGAGTGAGCAGACAAGCGTCTGTAGGGAAAATAACACACTGGAGCGTCCTCAGTTAGCGGTTAAATAACCAGCTGACATTCAGCTTTCTTCAGTAAACTAATTTCTTCATTTTCATGTAAACAAGAAACCTGGTTTCTTTAATCGGTGCAGGGAATTAGAGAAACCTGTTTTATCGGTGTATTTATTGGACTTTTTGGCTTTTTACAAGTGCACATGTGCATGACAAAAGACTGCAGACAGGGAAAGAAGTGGAGTGGAGTGGAATGGCTGAGTGAATGGAGACATCATGGAGTCTTGTGTCTTCATATTTAAAATAAATCTGTAAACTGCAAACTAACACCAGTCTTCATAAGTCAGTTTCCGTGACTGAACATTTGAGTATTTGTTACATTCAGTCTGTGAGAAGGAGTGCCATTCTATCTCCCACTGTGCTGTCGCTCTGCTCTCAAACAGCAAAAAGAAAGAAGGCAGGAAGTAGCATCTTCTGTCACGGTACAGTTTGAATCTGTGATCCATGCTTACAGAATAATTCTGGGTAAAGTGTAGAAATCTGGTAACTGATCTGCTACATATACAGTATATGTAGACATATGGTAGCCAGAAAAAACGTTCTCAGATTACCCGCCTGCTGATTTTTCTGAGTACCCTCGTTACTTAAGTGCATGTAAACACACACTTAAACTGTGAACTCTAAAATCCTGTACCCACTGGCCTTGAATTTAACCTGTATATACAGTTAATGTGTTTGTTTCACCCTCCATCCTGTGTGTGTGCAGACTCAGAAACAAAAGACTTGAAATGATCCCTAAATACCAGCTTTGAACTGCAAACCTCACTATGCAGGCTAGAATACTGTTGATTCTAGTCATTAGGAAAATGACTGAATCTGAAAACCTTTAGTCCTCACTGAAGGCCCTGCTATGACTTTGGCTTAGATGCAGAATTCATTTTAGTTTTGAGTTTGGTCATTTGACAAATCGAACCTTCAAAACTGATGCTAAACCCTTTGATCAGCAGGCAGCATGTCTACACTTTGTTATAAAAACAAAATTGTCTGAGCATTTCAGTGGGTTTCTTACTTTAGAAGTGTTTATGGCACTTGTCTGCCAGCCCCACACACACACAACACACACTTGACTCGAGTCGTTCTCTCTGAGACCCAGACGATGAGCCATCTGATTAGAGTGGAGTCTGGGAACACACACACTTTGTAGTCAGTAGCCTCCACGTACACACATAGACACAGACAGTTTTAGAGGTTGTTCTCAGTCTGCTGTCTCCTCACACACACACACACACTGTGAGATACCAGGCTGCAGTCTCCAGTCTCTAAACCCTCTCTGTTCTCATGGAGATAAGAAGTGTGTCTCATTGTTGGCAGACAACGGTCTCATTATCATCTTATCAGAGAGCCAGTCCAATCTGGAGAAGGTGGGGCTGCAGAGAGTGTGTGTGTTTGGCAGGGGTGGGTGGAGGGTACTTTGGCTAAGTGGGGTCTTTTGTCATGCGACAGGTGATGTTGTCGCTCAATTTGTCTTGATGCTAAAGACCTCTGAGGGTGTAGTGTGTAGCGTCAAGACCCAGCTAAATGTGAAACGTCACTTAATCTTCATTTTCTCCACTGGTGAACTGACAACACACCTGAAGTCATACTTTGTCAAAGACAGCCTGTGGCTTATGAACTTTGTGACCACAGCCTTTAATCCTCCACCAGCACAGTCTGTTTTTTGGAGACAGCGACTCCATCCACATAAAGCCAGACAACCTGAGACAACAGACCGATTCAGTCAGAGCCCGACTGCTGCGCTTACTACAAATTGTCAGATAAGGCCAACATACTCGATACAGGTCTGTGTGTTCCAGTGTTCTTATTTTTATGTTTATTTTTCATATTTTAACCTTAGGCTTTAGGTGCTGTGATCTTGGTAATCAGTGCTGTTGCTACTGGATACCTGAATTTCCCTCGGGTTCAATCGAGCATCTGTCTATTTAATTACAGGACAATGGCAGTGTACAGTATCCTGTGTGGTTGGCTTAATTTACCTAATGTAAAAGGCAAGAAAATGTGTCTTCATCCTCTTAACTGTATTGCCGCACAGCCCGTGACCGTGACTGTGCAGGCTTTACAAGAGCCCAGTTTTCCCTGTACACACAAAAATGCATTTTGAAGTTCATCCACTCTGGTAGCCACAGTTTTTGGGTGAGACAAATACTGGCTTAATGTGGGGGGAAAAAAACTCAGAGACGAAGAAGAAGCATGTTAAAATGTTGCCAACGTCATGTAGATATATTCAGCTTCTTAGCAATGATGCTAATGTTTCTGTCTTTTGTGTGTTTCTGACCAAGTTGTTTAGAGTTTTGTCATCGCTAGACATTTGCCAGGTTTACACTGTAACTAGAAAGTCTCAACACAGGACAAACTCTTTAAACCACATCCACACTAAGCTGGCAAAATCTGAAAAAGTCATCATTTTGGCTGCTTTGACACTCTATCCAAATGAATGAGCTGAAAGGTAACCACGTTTTCTTTAATAAACACTCTCAAGAGTGAATAAGTGTAAAGTCACCCACCTCACATTTTAGGATCGACGAATAAAACATAGCTGCTCAGACACAGTTATCTGTGACACTTCACTTTTAAATGCCAGTGTAGCTGTGGCTCCATTTAAACAGAGTGACTATGGAGCAGGAGGTTTAACCAGCTGAGTCTTGGAGCTGCTTGTTCTCATGGTGTTATGCTGTCTGTTCTCTATTGCTACTTGAGGTACTGAAATTTGTTTATCAAGATATGTGTGTGGTGTTTGTTTCTCATGGTGTTATGTTGTTTGTTCTCAATTGCTGCTGAAACACTGAAATTTCCCCATTGAGGGATCAATAAAGTATCTACCTACCTAATACGAAATCTAGTTGGTCTAAGGTACATCACCTTCTCTCACTCAGTGTCAGCTGAGAGAGGCTCCAACCTCCCCACAGCCCTCACAGAGAGGCAGGTTTACCTGGTGGATGGATGGAAAATGAAAAAATAAGACAACTGGTTGTGTGTGGAGGTGTGTGCATTAATGATCTTTCGTTCTCATTTTTCATCCAGATAAGGACTCCAGAGAGAAAATGGACATGTCTGAGGAGCCATCGGAGGCCACAGTGAAAGAAGTAGCAGGAGGTGCAGAGGAGCCTGTCAAAGAGGAGTCAAAGAAGGATCCACACAAAGAGGCCAGAGATCCCAGGGAGGAGGTGAAAAAAGACTTCAAGAAAGAATCATCCTTCTCCAAGGAGAAGAAGGAGAAGGAAGAGAAGGAGGCCAGCAAGGAGCCATGGGACAAGAAAGTGTCCATGAAGTCTTCTGCAAAAGTAAAAGAGAAGAAGAAGGAGCCAGAGGCTGGAGAGGGCTGACAGGGGTAGTGCACTAAGTTCACACAGGATGCACACAGACACACTCATAAACAAAACACAAGACACATCTAAACAGCATTCACATACACACACAGGGTCTCATGCATATAAAGACTGTATATGTATAGACAGTGTACATGTAAACATATACACGGTCACAAATGTTGACACCACACATACGTTCATTTACGCAGCCTGAATATACATTTACAGGGCTCCAGACTAATGAAGTCTCTCAAATGGTGGAACCACCTCTGTTTTACTTCATAATGCAAAAGAATCTGTATTTCATAAATTATTTTGAACACCCTTACCGTCCAATATGTGTAGCCTGTATTTATAATGACATTCAGAGAGAGGGAAACTTATGGAACACAGTATATAGGAAAATCATTTGTTTGTAAAATCACAAGTTTGTACCTCTTTTTATTTTTTTACTGTAGTGTTCTGTAGCCTGACAGCCAACATGAAGACACTGATGATGATGATTAGGCTATTATATGTCAGTTGAAGTATAAACGTATGACACTGTGCACGTGCTTTGCTGTTTTTGTTCTGAAAAAGAGTTTTGGCTTTTTGGTGTCCTGTGTTGAACTTCATGCACAGTTCATCTCTCACTCGCCTGCTGGTCCCAGCTCATGTTGGGCTAAACTTACTAGCAGCCTACTACTTAAAGAAGGATTGATGGTGGGTTTCAGTCGCTACTAACTTCAAACTGGGACTTCACTAGACGTGAACGATGGGACTTAAGTATTTGATCTGCTCAGTCCACACTGACTCAGACCACCCAGCAGTGTCTCTCATCAGAACAGCCGTTTGACAGCAGGAGGACAGCACACTCTTCACCAGGCTGACTGACAGCAGAAATGTACTGGACAAAAAATAGTTTTCATGTGGGCTCATCAGCAAGAGACCAGCAGTGTTTATATGTTCTGAATTATTTATTGTATTAATTTCCTTGTCTTTACTGGGCAGAGTAAAACCAGAAAGCTCACAACGACACCGGGAGCCTGATCTGCCAGAAGAGTTTCAAGTAATAAGTTTACAATATATAAGTAGGCTAACAGGTGATCTACCTGATTTAAGCAGCTGTCTGTGATGGTTACACTTCAAATGCACCAAAGGAAAAAAATAGACTCAAAGCGTAAAAAAGGGGTCCAGGGATATGACGCATGTGTCTCAGAGTCAGTGTGGATCAATATCGATAGATTTGCCTCATGAGATGGGTGAGGGACAGACCTGCAGATAAACGTTGCAATGACAGTTGCTTGTCTGCTACTTACAGTGAGAGCATTGTTTGTGCATAAGCTACTTATTTTGTCTGGAGCCCTGATTTACATGTAAATGCTGTCAGTCAAGGCTGCATATTTCAGTAGCAAAGCAGTTTCCCCCTCGATGTGTATGTACATCGCCTAGTAAAAGCCGATCCTCTCTCTCACACACACACACACACACACACACACACACACACTGCTGCTGCTGAGCGACACTACCACAGTCATTTTGGTGAGTGTGTGCGGAATGACTGTGGTCAGGTCTGAGCCCATGGCGAGTGAGGACAAAGGCAAAGTCCACCTCCTCCCCTCAGACATTACGCTGACTCTCTCTTTCCTCCTCGTCTTCTTCGTCTAGCCTCGGCAGCAGTTGAACCCACAGCCCTGTGCCTATCTAAGCCCAGTCATGCCCAAACCTCACCCCTGCCCACACACACTTCTGGCTGTGACGTCAGACGTGCCCTCTGCCTCCTTTGTGTGGCACCGGGCCTCGTTGGAGCCTCCCTCGCCTCACTGCTAAGAATAAACCACCCGCTGCGTCCAGCTGCCCCGCTGCTTCCGGGTAAATCAAGGCCACATCCTGCAGCCAGCAGCACCACTCCCTCTCACCTCCTCCAGGCAGTTTTCTTCTTCAAATCTGGGACATTCAAGGACATGCAGCCGCTGACAGACACATACTTGGTGCTGTGGGCTCGAACCTGATACTGTTCTTGTATGGTGGAAAGCAACAGGGTGTTTCTGGAAAAAACAGGTTGGAAGAGCAGCTGCAGGGCAAGTCTAACACCTGAAGCCTGTCCTGCTCATTCTGTGAAGGGGAGGCTGGATGATGCACACGCTCTGCTTCACCTATGTCATCTATAACATCAGCAGCGTATTTAACCAGCTCCATCTGGTCTGATACGATAAGTTACTGTGGGGTGATTGTTAGCAGAGCAGGAGGAAGAACAGAGTCCATGAGCAGCAAATAAGCACATGGGGATAGGTCGTTTTTTTGTCTGTGCATGTGGTGATTTCTGCTCTCATCCCAGCAACAGTTTTGTTTGTTGTGTTCACAATTTGAAATGTTGAATGGTGAGCTTGTGTTGTAAACAGGTTTGTTAGGGACTGTTTCCTCTGTACAAAGTAGTTCCAATGGAAACTGTTTACACTGTGTTCTGTGGATTATCCAGTTTATCACAGACACGGGTTGAAGAAAGATGTTACTGCCTTTGTCAACTGTACTTTGTTCTACTGTTGGGGTGGAGGTGGAAAACTGAGAGACAGATCCAAACCCATCTGTGTGGTTAGATACCAGCAGAGGGCAGTGAGAAAATATCCAACAATAAAAGAATAGATAAAAAAAAAAAGGTTTTACTTGCTGAAAAACAGATCTGGCATTTACAGAGTTGTGAGTTTCACATGCAGCTTACAATGTGGATTACTAGCTCCTTGGATGATTTACAGCATAATTCATAAGTACAATGTGATAAAAGATGGAGTCACATGATCTGAGAAAGACAAAAGCCATTTTGTTACTTACTGAGATTAAGTCACCATTACACTTTGGTTCAGACAAAACAATTACAGTATATACTGTATGTCCTTGGTTGACAGTTTACAAACCAAATCTTCTGATACTAGAGATATGGAATTACAGACTTAGAAAATATTTTTCTTCCCATTATATGTAAGACACCCCCCCCCCACACACACACACACACACACACTCAAACACAATTTAGGAACTTTAAACTGTAATTCTGCCAGACTTGAAGCTTTTAGACTTCCACCATAGATGCTGTGCCAGCTGAAGCAATGACAATCCCAGCAGCTTTGTACTACAAGTCTGCATCATGCCTGTATGTTCGCCTTCACTTTTAAATTAAAAAATGTGGAGCTCTTAGCCCTCCATTAAACACACGAACTTAAACAGGCATAGGCTGATGAGGAGGATAGTACAGAGTTCACTTCATGCTACTGTTTCAGATTACCCTACATGTTTGTAATATAGACTAGGTTTTGCACTATTGTGTTAGTGGTTCAAATGAACCAGTCTCCTGTTTCAGCCTGTTTTTATAGCCACAGTTGATACTAGCAGGACGTGCCCTGCACTTCAAATAACCGATAACTTAATGTGCAGCCGGAAGAGGAATCTGGGAGAGAAATCAATCTAGTTATGGAATATTTAGTAATAAAAATAAACTACTATAAATCATCCACAAGTCATTTTGTTTATTGTAACAGTTGTTTGGAAAAAAACAGCTGTTTCTCGTCTGTTTTTGTTCTGTTTGTGTGGATGGGAGCGACTGGGCTGAGTGATATCATCTCCACCTGCGTTATTCTCTGGTGTGATCATTCAAACTGCTACAGGACAAATAACCTGCTGATGTTCACCAGAAGACGCAGTCGGCCAGTAGAAAGCCATTTTCCCCTCAGAGGTCTGCGTGGCGTCATCTTCCCTCTGCAGCGATGCTGAAACTGTAAGTGTATGATAGTGTGACAAATTTCATGCTATGATGATGTTTCAGTGGATTTAATCAGGAACAGGAGGTTATCTTTGCTGCCTGAAATCTCTAGCTCATTAGGTAAAATTCAGAGATAATGTTATTTCATATGAGCTACTGTAGTATAGAACACAGGAAACTGTAAGTGTACTGTAGCACCTTAAGAGTACAGTATGCACTGTATGTTACAACACAAGGGTTTTGATAAATGACGTCCTGTGACACCAAACACAGAAGTAGGCTACAACCTGGTTCTTGTTTTTTTACTGATGATAACGACACTGTGCTCATCAGGTTCTCTGCTGAGGCCTGGGAAGACGGTGGCTAACATGGCAGCCAGGAGCTGTGGCTCATTGAGCCTCCCTCTGACACAGTAGCTACATTTCTGAGCTTCCATCATCAGATGCAGCTCGATTCTTACACGTCTCCAACAGGACTCGCTCTGCTGACTTTTGAAGTGATTGTTTGTTTCTGTTTTCTCTGTTCTGTTGGGTCCTGGGTGCGACGTCAGCTGCAGATTGGGTAACCGTGCTCAAGCTGAGCTCCTGCTGTTTAATTTGGCAGCTGCTCCGACTGTGTGTACGTTTAGGAGCGTTTCAGATAGTTTCACCACCGCAAAAACATTTTTCTCTCTCAATTTCACTGTTTGTCTTTCTCAGCCATTCAAACATTTTCATTTCACTCTCTCTGCCCATGGTTTTATCCCCTCCCTTAACAAAACTCCCCTCTGTATCATTTTTCTCTTCATCTCTTCCTTCAGACTTTCTCATCATTTCATTCTGTCCCACCCTGTCTTTTGTAGTGGTGTCTTTTGCTTCCTTTCTCCCTCCATTTCCCACCACTCCATTCCTCCATCCATCAGCTCTCGCAAAATTACCAGCCTGTCTCTGCTGTATTCGTTCCTATTTCAGTTCACTGTTGCCCCCTCATCCACCCACAGGAACTGTTCCTGGAAGTCTGGGACCTACTTCAAGAACTCAGGAACAGGTCCACCAGAGTGACTTACTTGGTCCAACTTTAAATCCTTAGCCATATTTCCAACCCTGAAAAAAGTCCCTACATCCACGGACCACAGACTGCTGCACATGATGTTGTTTGATTATTATTTTTTTTTAATATTTGTTCAGAAAAATAAATATTTGTGGTTGTTCAAACCCAGACTGTGTTACACACCCACCAACAGAGGGATGGTCATACCAGGCTGATTAAATCATAGAGTACCTGAAGAATCACTCTTGACGAAATGTGGTCCTTCCTACCCATCACAGATGTCAAAATCAGTTTACTAGCCATGGCCACTTCTACTCAACCTGTAGAAATGGTTGTATAATGTCTAGTGGGCCTGGAGGACCTTTATCAAGTCCATGAAAATTCATTGGGCTTGGACAATAGAATTTTTTTAGGAAGGCATTGCATATAGAAAATGTGAGCATTTTAAGGTGCGGTGTGTAAGATTTAGAAGGATTTATTAGCAAAAATGGGCAATAGTATGCACAGTTATGTTTTCTTTAATGCGGAATCACCAGAAAATAAGAATTGTTGTGTTTTCTTTAGCTTAGCATGAGCCTTTTACATCTACATAGGAGCTGGTCCCGTATTGTGAAGCCCGCTATGATGAGTCGTCAGAACGGACAAACCACACACTGGCTCTAGCTGAGAGACGCCATGTCCTGTCCCACTGTCACTTGGTTTATCAGATTGTGTGTAACTCTTAGCTAACGCACCTTTAAAATGTAAATTCGGGGCAATTTTCAGAAATGTTTCTCATAGTTTCAGATACTATTTGTGTGCGCTTGTGTGTTCTTCTGTTCTTGGGTTTCTCTTGCAAAATAGACCTCAGTAACTGATAAAGGTTCAGTAATGTGCTTGTCAAACATAAATGTTGGCAAAGCTGCTCTAAAATATAAAGGAAATGTGGTTCATAGTAGATGCTATGCTTCTGACAGCCAGTGGACATTGGACATGTGATGGACATCCAGGATCACTTCTCTTCCATCATCCTGTCTTTTTTTCCTCTTAAAACAAAATCTTCACCTGCATTTTTCTCTTTCTCATCTCATTTTCCTCACTTGCTTCTCGTTCTTCCAGAGTTTCTCTGTCTTCATCCAGTCAGCCTCTGCTTTGTGTTCTGTATTTATCTTTAAACACTTTTCCAGATTTTGTTTTCTCCCCCAGTAATGTCTTCCCCCATTCATGCCTTGGTCCAGTAAACCAGCACTGATGAGAGCAACCACCAAACATGGTTAAACACACCCAACTCTTAAAAATATCAAACAACAATACTTGAACAGTCAAAGTGTAACTTGGCCGCAGCAGTTTGGACAGAGCTTGGATGTCAACGCTGAGAAGCAGGCGGCTCCGTGTGGATTTCATTTCAGAGCTTATTTCTGTCTCCCGGGGTTTAAGGTGTAAACAAACTGGATCAGATAATTACTGCATTATTTTACTCTCGCTGCAGATTTGAGCAGTGTTTCACCTCCGCCACAGGGAACTTAAGTGGCTCGGATTTCTTTTTTGTGTGAGCAGTACTGATCCCATGTTTTGATCCCAGGGGAAAATTACCAGAAATTATATTTTGTTTCCTTGGTAACAGCACATGAACATATTTGCTTCTGCTATGTGCAAAGATAGAGAATGCAGCATATTTTCTGTGATGTGAATGTAGCCCAACTAGCACCAGCATGTTAGCCAGTACAGTAGATCACCAACTAGCCACTACATGACCAGGTATTCACAAAGATGCATGGCTGGATCAGTCAGTAGTGTCCACAGGTGGCAGAAACCCTTATCTGTTTCCTCGCTCTGATAGATCTGTACACCAGCTGGACCACTGTTTTCACTGCAGCTAAACTGTCTATGAAATACTGCCGGTTGCAGGTCACTGTAGTTTCAGACATGTTGGTCTGAATGAATCTTCCAATACTGATTTCCCTTTGAAACAGGTGAATTTGACTTTTCACCTGAAACGTGTTTCCTCATTCCACTTTAAAAGAAGTCACCCTGAACATGTATGCTGTGTTTCTGCCTGTAGGTGGAGGATCTCTGTTGCATGCGCTCATGTTCTGGTCCAGAGCAGCAGGTACAGAGCTGAAAACTGAACCCGACAACAGCGACAGACACCAACAGATCGTAGCTCGACTTCTTTGTGAGAAGCTTGTAAAACCAGGAGAGTATGGAGTGTGATAGATCCCAGGCTTTCCAAAATAATTCACCTCTTCTCTAACAAAGTACTTCTCCTCCCCCTGAAAGACATATGAGAAACACTTCTTTACATCCTGAAATATAGACAACATCAAACCCTCAACTAATTTACACCTTTACTCATGTTTCCATCATCCACTCATCTCTCATGAAAAAGTACAGAAGATAGTTCACAGCTCCATAAGCTTCTACAATATCTGCAGTTTATGTAATTATGGGGATTCAAAATGCAAACAACTACATGACATGATTGTCATGTGTTTGTATTGTGGAGTTCCACCCTGCTGCTGCCTGATTCAAGGGTTTAGTCTCCATCCAACAGCTGCAGGATATAAAACAGCTGTCACACACATATAGACAGTGAAACTCATAACTGATAAGCTGGATGCCACTCGCTGTTGTGAACCTCTGATATGTAGCCTTCCATCATTTCTTGTGTCTCAAAGGTGTGGCTTTGTAAGAAGTCAGCAGGCATAGGTTTCACACTGTTTGCCTTGAAGGACCTTTAAAGTCACAGTGAAACAACATTTGTTGTTTCATGTGTAACTTTTGTAATGTGACATCAGAAGGAATGGTTCTCAGTGGCATCCTCCTCCACTGTTAGGAAGCTATCTAAAGTCTGACTGCTGCTAAGCCATAGTGAGTCTGTCTTTGTGAAACTGGCCTGTCAGTTAGTGACAGACAGTGGGGACACTGACGAGCCGTCCCTCTTCCTCCACCAGACTGGGTACTAGCTGCCTCCTCCTCATGCTCCTGGAGACAGCTGGTCAGGCGTCCTCCCACCATGCTCTCCTTGACTCTGGAGCTGGGGGTAACCTCATGGACCCGGCCTTGGTGGAGCAACTAGGCCTCACCGCTGAACCACTTCCCCATGTGATAGAGACCCGGGCTATTGACGGCCGACTGCTGACCCACCGGACTCCACCTCTCCGCCTCACCATCGCCGGCAACCACCATGAGGGCATCATCTTCCACATCTTCTCCGTCCCGGATACACCACTGGTATTGGGTCACTCCTGGCTGGTCCAACACAACCCCACCATGGACTGGACCACCGGCACCATCACCCAGTGGAGCCCAGACTGTGCATCGACCTGTCTCCTCGCCGGACAACCCACCTCCTCTTCCTCTGCTACACCACCAGAGCCATTGGACCTGTCTTCCATACCCCCGGACTACCACGACCTGCAGCAAGTGTTCAATAAACACCTGGCCACGGACTCTCTTCCCCCTCATAGACCATATGACTGTGCCATCAACCTGTACCCAGGAGCCACCTTGCCCAACAGTCGCCTCTTCCACATTTCCAAACCCGAACGACAGGCTCTGGAGGAGTACATTGAAACTGCTCAACGTGCAGGCATGACCCATATTGTTCTTTCTATATGTTACTCTAGTTTCTGTCCTGCCCCACCATCTCTGCTTTCCTCCTCTATGGACCTCTCCTCTGGACTTTTGGATTTACTCAGCTCTTCCAGCCACCGCCTCACAGGTCGATGCACAGTGTCCTCTAACCTGTTGTTTTCATGCTTCTATGTCCTCAGCCATCATCACCTCCACCTCGACCAGCCCAGGAGTGAGTCCTACGTCCGCAGCGCGGCCCATCATCACCCCTCCACTCAGTGACTGTGTTTCTGCTCCCGCTGATCGACACCCGGTCATCTCCCACAATAACCTTCCTGTCCCTCTCTCTATATATATATATCACTGTACAGCACTTGTTAATAAACCTCACTGTTTGCACCGAAGCCAGCTACCTGGGTCCATTCTGTTCTCGCTCGCTCATTTTGTGTGCGAGCAACCCTAACATGGCCCATGATGTCAGGAAGGGCAGCAGTGAGCTAACTGCACAGTAGAACAATGATGGATGTTCTTGTCCCACAAAAAATGAAGCGTCTGTAAAGCTGTAAGTAGAGTAGCTCTCCAGTTTTTATGTGCTTTTTCAATTTATGCATAAATAAACCTGAGTAGAAACACTGGGAACTCAGGAAGCAACAGGGGTGACTTAATGCATGGGCTTTCCTGGACTGAAGCCCAGGGGCCTGGGATTTCAGTGGGCCTGTAGCTGGCAGTACTCATGGATCAATAATAGATCCATGTTAATTTCAGACGGTATATAGTCATTAATCATATGCCCTAATTGACTGGTCAGTTTTGTGTCAGGTGTTGTCACGTGATGAACTGCTCCGGAGACCCGAGAGAATGATGACTAGTAGATGTGAGAGACGTGTTCACAAATGGCCAAGAGAAGTGAGATCAAGAGTAACTTTGAAAACTACCACTTCAAAAAGGCACAGAACAACAATGCAGCAGGTACGGGTCCTGCGATTCAGGCAAATTTACTCCACTGGTGGCTAGCGCTAACATAGTGCCTCAAATGAGTGTCATTAAGGACAAACAACTGTGTGCTACCAGGGCTAGACTCTGACTGGGAAACAACTGAATCAAGCACATCCACAGCAGGGTCACCTGCTGTTTAAATCACTAAACCAGCAAACTGGAGATGATAGCGATGGTGTCTCAGCAGCTGGAAGCACAGATCCATCTAGCACTGACCCTGGTCCATGGGAGATTTCATTGATGACACTGTATGTACCCACTGATCCGAAGAAGAGACTCCGGGTTTTTGTTGAAACAGGGCTACTGAGCTGTCTCATTGGAAAGTTAGCCTTTAATGTTAAGGCTTGTTATTCTGACATTAATATATTCTACATTTCACAACTTGCAGTGCATCTGTTGGGGTCTGTTGTATTATCAGTGTTTGTTGTTGTGCTGAACTACTGGAGAAATGTTTGTATTGTCTGAAATCTAATGAAGTGAATTAATGTGCAGTATGTTTGTTATGGCGAGGTTTGACAGTGTCACTCTGTGCAGTGGTAAATTCGTTGCTTGTGGTGGTGGAAAAGGGCCGACAGACGGAGCAAGCCCGGGGCCCTGTGACAGGATTCAATTGTCCCTGGCAATGGAAGCAGACTCAGTAAATGAATCATGATGTACACAGACTGGATGTCTTTAATGTTCTCTAACAGGACAACAGAGCGGCAGAGCAGTGGCAGACCAAAGCAGATCTGTGTGGAGCGATGAGGAGACTACAACGGCCCACACATTAATGCATGAAGGTAACAGAAATGTCACATTTCTACAAGGATTGAAAACAAATATGTGTATGTCAGAACAGGTCACCCCCTTCCTCTGTTGCCATCTTGTGGTTTCGCACTGAGGCACTCTTTACCTCTTATAAACACACAGTGTTAAAGGTTTCACTTTCTCTTCCACACACACTTAATGCGTAATCCTTTCTCTGACACACACTTTTGCTCTTTGAATCACACAATCTCCCTCTCGTTGAAATACTGACCATTTCTCTTTGTTAAATCGCTTTTAGACATTCAGGTGTTCTCTCTGCAGCACCAACATAGTCTCTCACATGCTTCACTTTTGTCTCTCTTCCCCTGTCTTTCACACACACCTGAGCTGTGCAGCAGCACAGATCAAGTGGTGGCTGATGTTCAGTTTAAAGCTGCTGGGTGGGTCCTAATTATTTCTTTGAAGACTCACTTTTTTCTCTCTGTCTGAGCTTCTGACAAGCTTCACTTTAAAGAGGCCAAACACACACACACACACACACACACACACACACACACACACACACACACACACATTCATGCAACCCGCCTCCTCTGTCACATAAGACTTTAAAGCCAACTGCCAAACTGCAGATTTATGGGAACACAATGCTTAAATGTAGATTTTAGATGGTGGAGGATCTTGTGGAGTTTGGTTTTCTCAATGTTTGTGTGAAACAGCTGCAAATAACAATGTTACATCTACAACTGCAACATTATATAGATGATGGTTTTGTCCCAAAGAATCCATCAGCATTTTGATTTTGGTTAACAAAATGCATTTAAAAGCTACAATACTATGGGAATCTGAGGGATTTTTCTTTCAAATGAAGAACAACGAGAGTAAACTCTTTCTCGACTGACTTCAGGTCCTGTCAGGGTCTGATCAGTGTCCCTCTGAGGTTCTCCCAGACACTAGCTGGTAAGCCATTGACCTTTGAACCCTTTTGGAAGGGACAAACAGGTCTGAGCAGTGACAGACACAGAGATTAACTTTGCAACAGAGTGAGCAAATTAATGTTGAAGTGCTTGAAAATATTGCATAGATATTCAATCTAGCAAAGAGAAAGATTTAAGAGAAAAGTTTACATCTATGACACACTACATGGCCAAAAGTATGTGGACACTAAAATATATTTCAGCATTTCAGTCATGTTTTGCTGTCATTGCCTGTGCTCTTCTGGTTTCAGACTTTCCATCAGATGTTGAACCTGCTGAAAAGATTTGCTTTCTATTCAGACACAACAGCATTTGTGAGGTCTGACACTGATGTTGGGTGATAATGTCTGGCTTTCCAGTTCCTCCCAGATGTGTTGGATGGGACTGAGGTAAGGGCTTCACGCAGACCAGTCAAGTTCTTCTCCTCTGGGGAAAACATTTCTTTATAGAGCTGCTTTGTGCACGGGGACATCGTTGAAACAGGAAAAAGACAAATGCAAAGTTTAATGGCTAAAATATATTGTGTCTCTTCTTTGAAATGAAGGGGCCTGGGAAAGCAGGAAAAAGAGCCACAGATCAAAACTGCACAATAATGGACCAGGATGTCCACATGTAATGTAAACAATCTACACAATAAATACATTTAAATAGTAGTAATGAAACAGTTAGTTACTGGTACCATTTAAATAAGGAGAAATGCTCCGAATCAGAAAAAAAGTCAAATAAAACCGAAAATAAAACATTCAGTACAAAACAAATTCTTTCTTCCTCACAGTCATTTCTACATCCTCCTGCCAGTTATACCACATTAATGCCAGAAGGGTTTGAGTGAGCTCTTAAAATCAGGAACATTTGGAATGTTGGAGGTAAATTTGGGAAAAAATTAGTTTGAAATCTGGGTTTTAAAAAGTACCTCTGCTTCTCGTGACACTTCAGTTTGCTTCTTCAAAAATGCTTATGACCTAAGGAAAAGCAGGTCTCTCTCTCACCCACAGACACACAGACTGTCAGTATTAAAACCTTAATGAAGAGGGTCTTGGAGGTACGTACATTTGGAGGAGGACTAGAAAAGGTCTGCAAAGACCTGAAGCAGAAGGCCAGAGAAGGTCCGGAGGAGTTTTTTTTTTCAGAGGTCTAGAGGCAGGAGGAGGACCTGGGTTTCACAGAGGAGGCAGGACTTTCTGGCTCTGTGGTGCGCTTCGACACCACAGGTCCGCTTTAATACCAGAGGAGGAGGAGAGGCGAATCGACTTTTTACACGGCTCACAGAGAGAGCGCACAGAGAGACGCTGCAGTCCACTCCTCCATCCCGGACCGCACGCATCCAGCATCCATGTGTCAAAGGGACTTTTGGATTGGGAGCGCAGATTAACACAGCTCCGCTCCTGGCAAATCTTCATTCACTGGCTCATTACAGAAGTTGTAACATATGCGCCTTTATCTGCGCGTAATATAACCTCAGACCCTTTGCGTTGGACGCGTTTTAATTAATATCGAGACTCCTGTTTTCTGTGCACGACAGGGGCAGCCGCGCTGTCTCCTGTATGTCGGCGCGTCTTTGTCATTTTAATGTGGCAGTGATCACCGCGCGTCTGGCTGGTTGTCGCTTTGCATTTCAGTACAAACTGATGGACTGGGGAGGCTTTCTCTCTTGGTTGGACTAAAGAAACAAAGCTGCTGGACGTGTTTCACTTCATCATTTTCTTTTGGATTGATATTATTAATTTATTCTTCAAAACCTCTTCAGTACTTTTTCCTGGTGAAAACTCGAACATGTTGCTCTGCTGCTGGAGCCCTCCCTGTTGGTCCACCTGTAGTTTCCTTTTCTGCTGTTTGTTGCTGCTCCAAACGCCCCGGTTTTCCTCTCCGCTGATTACAGGTAAGATTAAAGGGATGGTGTGGCTTCATAATAACACATCACAACACCCACCGTGCGTAAAATCAACCCAAAGCCCCGGTTATTTAGTCTGCTGTCGTTTCTCCGTGTCTGATTCTATTCCATGGAGAGAGCGCACCAAAATCAAGGTCACGTAAGGTTTTCATATTTCAAAGCACCAGCAATGTGGTGGTGAGGTATAGTGTTCATGAAGCAGGCGATAACCTGTATGTATGCCGAAAAACGTGCTCATGTCTCCTTTTACAACTAGCTCCTACACACTGCTAAGATGGTTAAATGTACAGAATGCTGTAAACCCAACGACTGGTAGATCCATTTTATTTTATTTAACCAAAAGGCCCTGTTAGTCTTGAATCAGGGGGTTCAGGTGACATTATGGATAATGAAAATATGGGGGTTCGCAGTTTAACCCGGGTTATCCTCTCCGTGCCACCTGGTAGGGCATTGGTCCGCTTCTTCCAGTAGGAGCAGGGTTGACGTAAAGAGAAAACCCACTAAGATCCACACTGACACACTTGATATCTTCAGAAGTCGTTTTTTGTCTGACATATATCATGATGATATGAGTCAACATGAGAATCATTTATATCAAACTAAAGGAGACGATACAAGGATGGATGAAATATCTGCGTTAAATTACAAGTGATCTTTACTTAAATTGTTGTTTGTGTCACCCAGAAGTTATAAGTTACGCATATTAGTTAAAACCAGGCTGTAAAGTGTACATCATTTTCTTATCCAGCCCTAATTGAACAGCTTTTCTCCCTCCTGAGCGGCCGCTCCCGACTAAACGCGCTCTCTGGCCGCTTTGCTTCGTTCTGACAGCCGCATTGCATCATATGATATCCTCTGTTTGCCCTGCAGCGCTGTTGATAAATGAGAATAATGGAGTAGGAGTGCGTGTTGTGGATCTGGTGGTGCACGCAGGCCGGACTCCGCCACCAGCCGCACGGCCTACATGCGTTATCGCTGGGTAAACAGCAGCGTGAGGGACGGGGCTATACCGCGTTGACCTGACCCGTGTCCTCTGGCGCAGTGAGGAAAGGGCGTTAGTTGAAATAGATTTGTGTTTTTTATTTCAAGCATTTATTTGGTTTTGATTCTTCCAGGGACCATTTGAAGGCTTCATGATAATTAAATTAACAAAAAGGGGAAATCTTTGCTAGAGCTGACAGGCTGTTCAGTTCAGCTTTTATCCTAACTTAGACCTCCACAGGTCAACAAAAGACAGAAAGTGCTTTATGTACTGCACATCCGTTTGAACTCTGTTAAGAATATGTTCTGATTTTAAGGGTTTCCTCTTGGCTATTATCACTTTTTCTGGAGCAAACAGAGAGATGGGAATCAGATGGGGGACAAACCCTGCACCAGATGGGTCTCTGTAGTCATGCATGTGTATCTGTTTGACATGAAACTGAACCACCAGTCTCACTGCATCAGCTGAGGGGGCTGCACTGTCCTGATCCCGTCAGATCCCATTCCTCCACCTGGCATCCCAGATATGCATTGTGCCATCTGTGTGTTGTCCTCTGAGCCGCAGACCCTGCGGTTCTGGGCTGTTTGCAGTCTAGTTGAGTCTAGTGAGTGAGTGCAGCAGGTAGAGGGGTCGTCCTGTGGGCTTCAGCACCAAAGATGCTCCAGGACACTTGTTGCATGCCACCCCTGTCTCCTTTTGTCTCTGCTACATTTTACTCAATCTGATTGTTTATGATGCTTTTATAAACTCACTGGTGTTCACCACTGACCACTATGAAGTTGGGAGGTTTAATGGTTTCACTGGAGGAAAATGTGAATAAAAGCTACAAAGAGTTTTTTTTTTAATTAGTTATGAAGCCGATAGATTAATGCTCTGTAATATGCTGCCGTTTAACACCTTCAGTCGTGATAAATTGTATTTTGTAACTGAATTTTCCAGATGAACTAAACTAAATTCAACATGTTCACAGTCCCTCATAAATCTTAAATGCAGATGTTCACATCAGATATTTCTTCATTTCCCAGCAGCAAACATGTACTGTACTAAAGTACAAATCTGAGGTTCTTGTAAAGTTTTTGTAGCATTTCTATTTCATTCTACTATAAAGAGGGAAATGTTGTGCTCTTTTTAAATTACTTTTTTATCCTGCCACCTTTAACCCAGTACATTTAAAGACTACAGTACAATTGTCCTGTTGATACTTAAGTACATAGTTCTTAGGATACTTGTGTACTTTTCCTTGAGTGACATTTCAGTGCAGTACTTTTGCTTGTAATGGAGTGTGTTTATAATGAAGTAGTGCTACTGTCGCTGAAGTAAAGGACCTAGATTCTTACTGTGACGCTGGAAACAGAAACTGTAATCAGAGGTGGATAAATGGAACAAGCTGAAAACAGTTTGTGGCACAGACCTGAAGGGTTTCATCTCTAAGAACTACAACTTAAGTTTATCAGATTGGTTATGGCGTATGTTTGACATTTAGCTAACTTGCTCAATCAGTGTGAAAAGAGATACATTCAGAGATCGCCTCCTTGAACTGGATCTAAAATGGAACATTACAGTCCGAGAACGTGACCTTGAACTAAAGATAGGCCACAGCCTTGTGGCCCTTGTCGTCCTGTTGGCCCTCTCTGATTATTTTATTTTATTCTATTCGATCTAGTCACTGCTTACGTATCTTATTTAGTACATTTTTTGTGTGCAGTAGTTTCATGTTGTTTTTTAATGTAAATAAAAATAAAGCCATGAGGTTCCAAGTATGAAGGGGATGTAAGGGCCCGAGGTGAACACAGCAGCAGAGAAGCAGGAGAGGAAGATATTTTGTGAGGAAGATGACTCAGAGAACGAGGCCCCCACCCGCTGACCCCCTACCTACAGCCCTCCTTGTTTAATTACACTCGAAGGTTGTAAATTTTACAGCGGCGGGGGAGTTGGCAGGGTTTGTCTGCTCTGCACGAATCCACAGGTTCGCTGCTGCAGTCACAAAGACGAGCACAGACGGCACGACTTGCTGCTCCAGGAGTTTTATTACTGCGTTGAGCTGATTTAGGCCTTTGTGGCCCTGATACTAACTTCATTAAGGTATTTAACTAAATGACAGTGTGACACTGGGCCTCAAACATGCATCTGTTGATGTTACTCTTTTAGCAACAGTGAGTCTAGTCATGAACATTATTACAGTTTCTTAAAACACGGCTCTATAAACATACGTTAATGATGTGATCTTTGCCTTTGGATAGAATACTTGGTTCCTGCTGTAGTCTAGCCAGCTAGTTAGCATCTTATGTTCGAGCAAAAGCACATTATGTAATTTACTCCGCGCACGTTTTCTCCAGTGATTTTTGGTTTTGTAAAAGCTTTAAGTCGTTCCTAGACTTCCATGCACACCGCTTTGGTCCTTGTGAGGGAAACTGCAAATGGCCAGTTCCTGAATCATCAATATTATAAACCCAACTGTGAGCAGGTCAAAGGTCAGAGGTTGCAGTAGCATAGGAACCGTCTTTGTGACACATCAGATGATCCTGATGGATGAATCAGAGCTTTAGACAGTTGTGATAGAAAACCACAGAGATCTGGACAGCAGTACAGTTGATTCACAAGGCTGACACTGGTTTATTAAGTTTATAATCTCCAAAGAAGCAAATCAGGTGTGTTGTGCTCAAACAGTGTGAGAAATGATTTTCCTCTGAGAGATGGAGGAAACAGGACTAGAAACAGGAAGTAGCTGGACACTCAGAGTGGTCAAGGGCGGGGATTTGCCTTCACCTCTGATGACCCCGGTTCAATTTGCAGGTCATCAGAACAAACTGGACACAGAATAAAAAGCTGATCGGGCCCTCGTGTCTTTGTGCTGCAGCTCCATGAGGCGGAGAAGTTGCGAGATGTGGGCATCTATCTGCTTCTACCCACAAATCTTTGCATTTGGGGTGGTTTCCTGTAGCTGGCTTAGATTACAGTAGCACTCGTACCAAACTGACTGACTCACCTTAATAAGACCTCAGTTTAAATGGGACAGGTTTGACCTGGACAGACAGGCTGCACTGAATGAAAGACAACCTGCAGAGTCTAGGAATTAGAGTCAATACATGGTGAGGCTCAGTGTTGCCCATTCATCTGTATGTAGTACTGCTACTTGTAGGTTGTTGTTAGTGTGGTAAACTGCAGCAGTGTATGTTTTACAGGCTGCATTTCTATGTCTGTTTGGCCTTGAGTTTGATTATTCAGGTTTAACATGCTGTAGTTTTATTTGGGTTTGTGTTGTGTTGCAGAGCCAGCTGTCACACTCAGCCTGCATCTCACCTTTGTCACTTTCTTCCTGTCCTTCCCAGGAACTGAAGCCAGCTGTGACAATGAAGGAGAAGTCCTCCACATCCCCAACATAACCGACAACCCGTGCATCACCTGCGTCTGTCTGGTAGGCGTGCCAGCTTGTTTTACTACAGTTATCAGCCCTTGTCGCTCCATGTGAATGACTTGCCGTCTGCCCTGTTGGTTCACAGTACCTTGATGTGTAAATGCGGCTCTAGGTTTTTCACTGATAGCACAGGGTAAAATTACCTCTTTACGTGCTGATAGTGATGTTTCTAAAGCTGATTGTTGAGCTTTGTGTGGTGTTTCTTATCGATAGGTTGTGAAATTTTGCAACACTAGGACACAACTTCAACAGGAATTTTTTTGGCGGGACTTTAGGCGAGACACAAAGTGTGGATTGTTTGATTTAGTTTGATTCCTTTGTAAGCTATTTTTTTCCCTGAAACTTTAAAAGTAAAACATGAAGTTGACATTGTGCTTAAAACACCTAGATTGTAACCAGTGTTCTGAAGGAAGAAATGAATGTGGGTGGCTGTAGAAGTCCCTCCTTGGAAAATGGTTTGTAGCACTCACTTGACGTTAGGATTTGAGGCTTATTTCTTTACTGTGCAAGTGATTTGTGAGCACAGGAAAGCACTTTGAAATGCAGCTCTTTACTGTTTCCTGAGGATTTGCAAATTTGTAGTGACATGAAGTGGGGACCATTTGTCATAACAGACAGACTGTCGTCACACTGTCTTGGTTCAGCCAAGCTGTTAAAACCAGCCTACAAAATGTTAGGACTGGAAGACTCCTTCCTAGAACATGCGCTCTTTGACCCCTAACCCCCCGACACCACCTCTCAGCCCCTGTACTGCTGTTGAGGTCTTTGTGTTAGGGGATTAGAAAGGACCAGTGAGGCTTTTGTGTGTCACTGCCTCGATATTAGCTGAGAGTGTGTGTGTATTAAAACGTGTTTGTCTACCATATCACACACCACACTGTATATATTTTATGCATATTGTGTTCCTCATATATTTACCCACACCACATGCTTGGTTCTGATTGGCCTGTAGGTTGAAACTGTATCTCTGGACAATGCAAACACACCCATATCACTCAGTCAACAGTTTATTTCCTATTGCCAGTCAGTGCTGTATTAGATTGTTCACAAACATAGCGACATGGTAGATATGAAGCCATAGCTAACAGCCGGTTAGCTTAGCTTAGCATAAAGACTGAAAACAGGGGAAAACAATTAGTCTGACTCTGTCCAGCAGAAACAAAACTCATTGTCTTTAGCTTGTCTGGTCTCGATTCAGTGAAGAGTTGCTGTGTGAAGGCAGTCCTGGTGTTGCACACAGCTGTGCACAACAACAGTAACAGAAGTAGCAGTATGAAGAGTGCAAAATGAGAAAAGGAAACTCTCAGCTCCACACATTTGGCACTGCTTAATGTTCCAGAAATTATCAGATGCACTTCTGACAGTGGGAAGCGAATCTCAGACATAGCCCAGATTTCACACCTCATGGGCATGTTTGATGTTTACATCTCGTCACAGACCTGCAGTTAATGTTTGCCTTTTATCAACTGCAGCTGCAGCCTCTTCCCAATTTCAGCTATGCTGTATTTAATATAGTAGAAAGTGAGAAAAGATTGGCACCAAATGTATTCAGTGGTTTTGCAGAACTGTCCAGTATCAGCAGTGTTGTGTGGTGCTGGAGCTGTTCAGATGCTGGTAGATTATCTACCAGTTTGAAGCAGAGGCTTTACCTGACACAGGTGAGACACAGGTGACTATTTTCTCATTGGTTGCCTGTGACTTTCAGTCATGGTATAGAGCTAGAACATACTCTGAGGGGTTTAATATATAGCCTATATGACTGTACAAATACACATGCAGCTGTTGGTCACAGCTGGTACAACGGTCTGTGTCCAAACCCCAGCTTCTGATTGGCTGCTCTGAGGCTGCCCTCGGCTTGCAGTCTGACTGAGCCGTCCTCTGTGTTATCAGGCAGACATCAGCTAAAGCCCTGCTGAATGATATCAGTCATCAGTAAGCAATGGCCAGCCTTTCATCTTGACTTTAACCCCCCACACACATATAACCCCCCACCCTGCACACTTACACACACACTAATAAAGTGACACACATTTAGGGCTCAAACCTCATTGAGTTTGGTCTTTGTTTATCTCCATAAACTTTTATAAACCCAGATGTGTTGCTTTTTTCTGTGTGCAACACGAACCCATATGAGTCAGGTATCAGTAGCCAGCTTCTTCTCTTTTGTCAGTTTAGCACAGTTTAGTTTTGAAGAACAATTAGTGTATATAACAAATTACTAAAGGCTTCTGTTCTTTATGACACAAAATCAAATGCAGTGATCATCGCTCTGTTTCTATGTTTATTTGACGTGCAGCAGAATTTTAATCTGCATTTATTTTATTGACTTCATTGTTAAATAACTCGAACTGATAATGTAAAAATCCAGATGACAACTTAACTTTAAAAAATGTTTAAAAATCTCCCAGTTTGAAAACCTTGACTCTTAATATGACTATTTTGACTTTACCTTTGTGGACGCTGGGTGATTTGCAGCATCATGTGGAGCATTTAGCATCATTTTCTTCTCCTTGTTCTCTGTCAGTCCAACCACGTTCTGGTCTTTCCTTGTCATCCTGCTCATGGTTAACACTGGTGAACAATATTTCTCTCTGGGTTTTTGAAATAACCAGAAACACTGAAAACAATGAGCCTTACATAAATTTAACCCTAACTTATCCTCAGTCACTATACTTCCAGAGAGAGCCCTTTGTCGCCGTGTTGTCTTTGGGGGGCGGGGTCC